CTCCTCTTCTAGAGCAATTTAGAGTATTAAAGGCCACATTTACTTGCTATTAAAGCAGCCCAGGTTATTATGGCAGGGATTCAATTGTTGCAGATTTGTCTAAACATTAATTCTGTGAACGTAACCCCAGCATAGTACAACTAAAAGAGGTTTCAATATTAGTAATGCTCTTAGTAAGGATTTAGGCATTGTATCATCTAAAACTGCTAGAAAAACTTTGCCTATAGCTGCCAGAAATGGGAAAATAAATCTACCCGGGGAAGCCCTGAATGTTTACAATGTCTGCCTCCGCCCCTGATCCTATCATTTCCTGTCTGCCTCTTGACTATCATCTGTAAGAAGGCAGAATTACCTTTTCAGTTAGCTGCCTAGCTTCAGCTAAGTATCTTTGTAAAGCTACTGGCCTGCTAGTTCAAGCAATGTTAATCATCCATATACTTTGTACTGTTGTAGCATCACAGAATAAACTCTGTTAACAGTAGCAAAGGTATTTTGGCCAGCAAGCTTACTATAAAAAAGTTAGTTTGTGCACTGCATTTTAAGGATCTAACTATCAGAATGAGTTATGAGTATGAATAAGTTTTGGCTTTTAATGTGTCCTATTGATAAATGGTAATCTACTTTCTTAAAACAACACCAACTCAAGCAGATCAAACCACATTATCAACAAGCAAAAAGAAAAATATATTGAATACTGGAAAGAAACAACCAAAACAAAGTAAATTACAATGTTATCTGAACCTAAAAAGAAGATTTCACACTGGCAAATTACCTGAGCACAATAAACTAAGAAAAATGTTGACAACATACAGACTGAGTGAACACAGCCTGGCCATAGAAAAGGGTCGCCACAGACAGAGCTGGCTGCCGCAAGAGGAGAGACTCTGCTCCCAGTGTGACACAGGAAAGGTAGAAACAGAGCTGCACTTTCTAACCTCATGCCCTAAATATAAAACACTAAGACAAAAACACTTTGCAAAAACACAGACGTTTACGGTTTTATCTATTTATTTTATTAAAATCTTTAATATATTACTATAACACACACACACACGTTACTATTTCATTTATGTATTTTATTTAAATTTTTTATATATTTAAAAACTTTTAACACACACACGTACACTGTTTTATTTATTTACTTGTAGTTTTAATATTTATTTTTACGTTATTTTTATAGTTTTTATTATTATTTTATTTTTTGTTAACACACACAACTTTTTTTTTTTACGGTCTTATTTACTTTAATGAAATGTATGAAATTAATTGATCTTATGTAATTTATTTGTAGCTTTGGCAATATTGTTATACATTCATGCCAATAAAGCTGATTTGAATTTTAATTTGAATGGAGCTCTCTGGTACTGAGCTGCACAATCAATGAAGAGAAACAGGAGAGACAGGGGTAAAGTTGGGATGCTGACTCGCGTAAAATCCCCACTGAGCTCCCTGTCGTGTAAAAGACCAGCTAATCCCACCTACACCACATCCAAACACACAAACATAACACACACACACACATACACACACACACACCTTGTTGTGTTGCTGCTGATTTACTGGACAAACACCCCTACTGTGTCATTGCATCAGAGATATGGGCTGCTAAACATCTCGTGTCTGGAGTGAGTCCTGCTGGTGTTTCAATTGTGTTGGTGTGTTTGTCTTTTTTGGTGAAATACACAAGAATTCAAGATTTATACTTTTATACAGTAGGCTATGTTTGATATGTTCATATAGCCCACGATGTGCCTTGCATGTATAACATTCTGGTCATAGAGCTAAGCATCAGATTTTTCCAAAAAATTAAATACCCAGCTATCTTTGAAAAACCAAGAAGGTAATTAACAACACTTGTTCTGAAGGGATTACCAGAATCCTGAGAGACTCTTCTAACCACCTGGATAAAAACACATTTTGATTGTTGCATGATAAAAAAAGAGAAGATTTTTAGCATAATGTCCCTGCTCTTTTGTAAAACACAAGCAAAATATTAACGTGTTATTTTGTTTGAAAAAATAAAAATATATTCAACATGTACAAATGTTACTGTTACTAAAAATATATTTTGGTTCACTTGTACAAACTGAGAAAGAAAATATGTAATTTGTCATGATCAGGAAAAAGAGTTGTGACTTGGGTAATGGGTTGAAAATCTTTTTTTATCATGCAACAGATTTCCCACCCCTGATGGTTTGAAGAAAAAGATCATAATCTTATATATTTTTCAGGAAACTGGATGCTTAGCTCTGTGACTCAAATTCAATGTTTAAATAGGAGGAACAATGTATGGAACATCCAAAGTGTCAGAATTAAATGAAAGAATAAATAAATAAATGGGGAAGTACATGCAAGAAAGAATGAATGAAGAAAAGAATAAATAAATGCAGAAATATATCAAAGAAAGAATGAATAAAAGAATAGATAAATAAATGGGGAAATATATCAAGGAAAGAATTAATGAATAAAAGAATAAATAAATGCAGAAATATATATAAGAAAGAAAGAATGAATAAAAGAATTGATAAATAAATGGGGAAATATGTCAAGGAAAGAGTGAATGAATAAAAGAATAACTAAATGCCGAAATATGTAAAGGAAAGAAAGAATGAATAAAAGAATAAATAAATAAATGCAAAAAATATATCAAAGAAAGAATGAATGACTAAAAGAATAAATAAATAAATGCAGAAATATGTCAAAGAAAGAATGAATGAATAAAATAATAAATACATACATTTGCTTTTGCCTTTCCCCAAGTAGATCTATTGTCATTGCTTTTTCCTTCCTCTTCCTTAGCTGTCAATCAACGTGTTGTGGCCCGCCCACTAAGTCCAACTAATCACTCACAGAAGTATTTCTCTCCATGATCAGATGTATAAAGGTCTAATCCACACTCCATACCAGTTGGTGGCTGTAACGCACCAATTCGTTGTTTGCCAACTGACAATAAAAGCACGACGAGGAAGAAGAAGGAAGAAGAAGCAAACGTCAGACAGAACCAGCACATGTCAATGTGATCTAAATGCAGAAGTCCATTTACCGGAGGTAACTGGAAGAGGGCGGAGAGGCAGAGGACCTACCCAGAGTGATGGCTCAATAGAATTTCAGCTCTCATTTCCACCTAGATGTGTTAAACAACTTAGGACATATCACCGTTTGTATCTGTCCGCAGCATTCTCAGGTGAGCAAATGTAATGGAACAAATAATCTTAAAGTAAATAACATTTAATATTTGGTGGCATAACCCTTGCTTGCAATAACTGCCTCAAGCCTGCGACCCATCGACATCACCAAACTGTTGCATTCTTCATTTGTGATGCTATTCCAGGCTTTTACTGCAGCTTCTTTCAGTTCTTGTTTGTTTCGGGGCGTTTCTCCCTTCAGTCTCCTCTTAAGGAGGTGAAATGCAGCTCTATTAGGTTAAGGTCAGCTGATTGACTCGGCCAGTCTAAAACCTTTTCACTTTTTCCCCTTTGTTTTGTTGGCAGTGTGCTTTGGCTCATTGTCCTGCTGCATGATAAACTTCCTCCCGATTAGTTTCAATGCATTTCTCCGTAAATTGGCAGACAAAATGTTTCTGTCCACTTCTGAATTCATTCTGCTGCTACCATCATCAGTTACATCATCAATAAATATTAATGAGCCTGTTCCAGAAGCAGCCATGCACGCCCGAGCCATGACATTATCTCCACCGTGCTTCACAGATGAGCTTGTGTGCTTCGGATCATCAGCAGTTCCTTTCTTTCTCCACACTTTGGCCTTTCCATCACTTTGCTAGAGATTAATCTTGGTCTCATCAGTCCATAAGATTGTGTTCCACAACTTTGTACTTTGCAAATTTCAATCTGGCCTTCCGATTCTTCCTGCTGATGAGTGGTTTGATGAGTGTGGCCCCTATATTTCTGCTCTCTGAGTCTTCTTCCAACAGTGGATTGTGATACCTTCACCCCTGCACTGTGGAGGTCGTTGGTGATGTCACGTACTGATGTTTTGGGGGTTTTCTTCACAGGGTGGGTTCAAACAAACGGTGGTATGTCCTGAGTTGTTTAACACATCTAGATGTGAATACCAGGAAATGAGATCTGACATTCTGAACTCTTGTCTCACACTCATTTTTTGATCTTAAACCCAAATGTCTTCAGTGAACAACAAAAACAACGGAATTTGCCTCACCGTTCCAATACTTTTGGAGGGGACTGTGTAAATTACATTTACTCAACCTGCCTTAAAAAAAACTGAACCCACAAAAAGGAACAAATGTAGACACACATTATCACATGTGTACGCACATCCTTCAGGCAATATAAATATAGGCAAACACAAAATTCAAGCGGTAGGTATGGTATAGTATAATGCACAGTCATTCTGTATTGCTTTCAAATATAAATATACTGGTAGATCAACTTTTCTCATTTAGCGGGGTTCTCTTCAAAACTCCTCAAAATAGGGAAAAACACAGGCATAGTCGAAAAATAGTGGCGTGATTTTTATTATGCCGGCCTCCAAAGTGCAAACAGTGAAAAAGCTTGCATAAAGAAAACAAAACTAAAAATAACTATTTGAAAAAATAAATAACTTACTCAATAAAGTTACACACACACAAACAAACTTCTCTTTCTCTCTCCCGACGAAAATACAAATCACTATAGTTACCTCCTCTGTGACCAGGCCAAGATGCCAAGACTGACCTCACAGGCCCAAAGCTGCGACTTTTAAAGCCAGTAGTATCCCACTAGGCTTAACCATTATTTACACAAAATAATAAACACATTTTACTAAATCCAGAAAAGGATTTATATCTATTACACTTCGACATATTTTCAACAATAATTATATCCATCTCCACAAACATTTTTCTTCCCCTGAAACAGTTATTTGCATCACAAATTATTACTACAACCAAAAAACCATAATTGTGCAGTTCACGTGACCATGAAAGCGCGCGAGAACATGCTATTTAAAAGACGGAAATGTTACGCCCCTGTTTTGCAAACCTGCGATGCATCTCGACACATAGTAAGTGTTTGATGTTTGTTTAAATGTATGTTTAAAGAAGAGTAGAACTAGTGTGCACCCTTGATCGCGTTACTTAAACAGTAGAGGAAAAATGCATAATAGCGAGGTTTATAACCGGCTTAAGTGTGTGTGTGTGTGTGTGCGCGTGTGTGTGCGTGCGCGCTCGGCCCGCACTCCGTGGCGGAGCCGCTCCGTCACAATTATCAAGCATCCACATGGATGTAGGCATGTTAAGTCTTCCCTCCTATTTTGGTTTAGAAAGTAACCTCTTCAAATGTGCATGTAGCACCTTTTCTCCTCAATGATAACTTAATTCATTTTAATTAATTTATAAACCCCTGGACCCTAATAACTCCTGTGTTTCAGCAGGTTTTCTGCTCATATTCAAAACCTTCTGCACATTCAAAATCCACCCCACAGGTCTTACGCTCAGGGCGTGAGAGTTTGCAGCTATGATAAGAAATGCACTTTGAATATTACCACCTTTTATCAGCTGAACTGACCAAAGACTCCTTGCACCTGAGTTCGCTGAGTCACAAAGTAGGGACTGACACTCGTGATAATGATGAAGAGAATGTGCTGCGTGCTGGGAATGATGGTGACTTGCATGTTGGGAGGGGCTGGACAAGATGTTTGCAGTGTGTGTTAGCTACAGTCCAGCATCAGTGGGCGTTGTAGGAGGGTTGATGGGAGGTTACATAAGAGCCAGGTCTTGGCTTGGTCTTTATGTCGTGTATCTAAACAGGGGTCACTAGTGTCTCCGCGACTTTTGCTGAAGGATTAAGTCAGAGAAGAAGTGCCCGAAGTCGATACACAAAGCAGCCATGGCAGGTGAGTCCAAGTCTGGATGGGAACCCTGTGACTGGGACCCTCATGAACCAACTCTTACATCCTTACCTTTTGAGATTCATTTTCCTGCAAGTTCATTTGTTGGGGAACATTCTGCATTAGTTTTTTTCTTTCTTCACAATGAGAAACACGTATACTGAAACAACTGTTTTTGTTTTTCTGCAGTTGGTTACATTTTACAATATTTATCTGTATATTTCACCTTTTTCATTTTTTTTCAAGGAAAAAAATATCAGTTAGTATAATTTATGACTTGTAACTTCTCTTTACTGCAGACATAGACCAGATGAAGAAGCCCAAGAAAAAAAGTGTAAGTCCAAATGTGATTTTACTATCTGCAGCATTAAACAGCTAAAAAAAAAAATGTTGTTTACGGCTCTCATAATCAACAGAACTGAAAAAAAAAAAATATATATATGCACTCACCCATGGGTTTTAAATAAAATCCTAAAATATCATAGTTACAAACATGGCATACAAATTCCAATTTCAAGAGTGCCTTGCTTAACTCAGGGTGTCACAAGGCTAATATGCACTTTATGTTATCAGCGTGTGAAACAACACAGTAAGTGGTGGTAATATCCTTAACTTTTTTCTTTCCCCTTTAACAGGCTACTGTCTGTGGCTACCCAATAAGCATCTTTTTCATTGTGGTCAATGAGTTCTGCGAGCGTTTCTCTTACTATGGCATGCGAGGTGAGTCGGTTTCTTCAGGATCTGATGCAGTCATGACATTGCTTTATTCATATTATATAAACGGCTCCATTTTTCTGTACACAGCCGTTAAAAGTACACAGTGGTGGAAAGAAAATTTGGATGACCTCAAACACTTATTTCAATGTTTAAAGTTTATAATAATAAAATAAAATGTATAATAACATAACACAGGGGATTTTTTCTGCAAGAGTACTTTTACTGTTAATACTTCTCTACTTTTGAGTATTATTTTGAATACAGGTATTTCACATTGTTGTATTGGTACCTTTACTTAAGGAAGTAAAGTAAAATATCTGAATACTTCCACTGTTTTCTGCATCCCTGTCCAACTGATATTTACGTTCTCCCATTTTCCTTATTCTCACTTCCCGTCTGCAGCCGTCCTGGTGCTGTACTTCAAGTACTTCCTCAGGTGGGATGATAACTTTTCTACCACTATCTACCATACCTTTGTGGCTCTCTGCTACCTGACGCCCATCCTGGGAGCGATCGTGGCCGATTCATGGCTTGGCAAGTTCAAGTGAGTTTCAAATTCTTTTTACCTGCTACCAAATAAAAAATGCATTTTCCCAAATGCATATAAAAAAACATTAAAAACTATAAGCTGTAATTTGCTTTGTGTGCTGTTGTAGTAGCTATACATGTTGTGCTTCCATATGCTTGTCTAGCTGGGCATAGCAAATACATCAAAACCTGTTTAAAGAGTTATGGTTAAAGTACATCTCACAGAATTGGCTGTTAAATTGCATCCTCGGATTTTTGACCCTTCTATATCTTATCTCTAACTGAACCTGATGTACACCTTTAACTCTTCCTCTTCCTCCACCCTCTGCACAGGACGATTGTTTACTTGTCCATCGTTTATGCGCTGGGACAGGTTGTCATGGCAGTAAGTGCTATCAATGACATCACAGATGCAAACAGGGACGGCATGCCTGACAACATGACCTTCCACGTGTGAGTTGAACACGCTCAGAACTGTGTGGCAGAAATATAATAGGTGAACAGATACAGATATGTATTGACACTTGTGTCTGTGCTGTGGTTTACCCCCAGGGCTCTATCCATGGTGGGTCTGATGCTTATTGCCCTGGGAACAGGAGGCATCAAACCCTGCGTGGCTGCATTTGGAGGAGACCAGTTTGAAGACCATCAGGTTAGACGTTGCTCAAGCGCACACATGCAAACACACACATGCTGTATACGCATGGGAGGGGAGACAAACAGTCCTGCAATAAATATTGTCGTTGACAAGTGAAAACCATGTCTCTTTGAATATAAAGATTTCGTCACAGGGCTACAATTTCTGATTTATTTCCCAAAACCTTCTAAGAAGCTGCCTGGGAAGAAAATATGTCCTTTAGTAATCCTGAAGAAGCCTTTTAGTCGCATAAGAACATTGGTCTAGAGACAAGCACACAATTGGCCTTAGTTATCGTAATTATCATAATAATAATAAAATTATATTCTTTTTAATTGCTGTGTGTGCGCACATGTGCAAGACAGAGAGATACTTCTTGAGTCCTGAATGTGGCGGGTGTGTCCATGTGACTTTGGTATATCATAGTTATTACTTTCTTTATGAGCTCTGGATCTCTTAATTACCAGACTGATTAATACCAGACATAATTAAGCACAAATGATCCTGATCGCGTAATTATGAGATTCTAATTTGGTAATTGCAGGATCGTTTCTTTTCTTGATATTGTGAAAAAGAAGATCCGGATCTTGTAATTAGAAGTTTTCTCAAATCTCATGAAATTATTGGATAATCTCCAAAATACTTTTTTACCCAAAAATTTGTTTGGCAAGTGTATGTCAGACCAGTGTCGACTATATTCTTGTTATTTTACTGGATTGCATTATGTAATAAGCTGTCTGTCTTATTTGTACCTATATTGTGCGTGTGTATAGAGGGGTTCAAAATGCCATACAGTGCAACAAAATTCAGTATAGCACCACAACCTTGAGCCTCAAACATTTAACACAGAACTGACTCAACACCTCACAAGTAAGTTTCGCAAAAGTAATATTTGTTGCAGCAGGTGTTTTATTTTGTATAATACATCCACACAAACAGTTATACAGTTATAAAAATACAGACACATGTAACTCGTAATGTTGATACTTATTGTGCACACACTAAACTTTTATTCACATAATTAAGTATATCCATGCACATGCATGTCTAATACAGGTACCACATAAGTCAGGTGCACATGTACATGTAAACATACATATTGACCTCTCGCTCTCTCTTGCACACGTGTGCACACACGGCAGTTTAAAAGCAATCTAGTCAACAATCTATGGCAACTCATCAGCACTTCTTGTACCTCTGTTTCATTCCAGCTAGTTGTTTATTAATAACCACAAGTACATCTATCTCAGTGACTTTATTACACCTTTCAAGGCCGGGACAAAGATAACCCAAAATATTAATGACTGAAATGGAACATTATATCAAAGTCTGGATAAGAGTTTGTGAAAACGTGTCCAATATAATCTTGAAAGAACGTGCGTCAGTTGTTTTTTTTTGTCTTGGACTTGCTTAACTTCCTGTGTCCAACAGGAGAAGCAGAGAAGCACCTTCTTCTCCATCTTCTACCTGTCCATCAACGCTGGGAGTCTGTTGTCCACTGTAATCACACCCATCCTCAGAGGTACGCTAAAGTGGATCACAGACCATAAAATATGCAAATGACTCACATATTGGATTTTATATATGTTTGTGTGTGTGTTGGGGTTTCCAGCTCAGGAGTGTGGTATTCACACCCAGCAGAAATGCTACCCACTGGCCTTTGGTGTACCTGCTGCTCTCATGGTGGTTGCTCTGAGTAAGAACTACTTTTTTTAAAAACATCTCTATTGACTGTAACGAAAAGTTAAAGTGCATTTTATTAAATGTTAGTAAGTTTTAGTAACAGTTTTATTTATTGTTAAAGAAGGATTGTAGTACACAGCCTATGAAAATGATGGTAAAATGTCCAACTGGCTCTGGAGGAGCTTTGTCAAGTCTGAGAGAATAACCCAGATGATGTCACAGGGATGTCATCAGTTATGTGAGCTTGGGATCGGAGACTACACATTTCTAACAGAGTCTTCATTAAAAACTGGGGGTGGAGTCATCAGAAAATGCCATCCAGGTCATAGTTATCCAGGGTGGCAACTGGACACAGCTGAAGATTTGAAGAATGTGGGCATGCCAGGGAGGGAGAGTCTTATGAAACATGCTACTCAGTTGCATTATGGGAATTGTAGGTTTCTAGTAGTGTTTCTGTATCTACTACTTCAATTTTGTCTCTAGTGAATTTCCCAACTTAATGAATGATAAAAAAGCCTTTTGTCAGGACAGCTTCTAGCATGCCAGGCTGTAAAAATTATTACTGGTGGCTTATCACTAAGACATTATTAAATGTTAATAAGTTAATTTGTTACAAAAACAATAAACTCTTTATAAAGTATATTTTATAACGTGTACCATGAATATTTATAGTGCGTATAAGTCAGTGACATTCTAATAATGACCTCCTTTATTTTCTTATAATTTCCTTTGTGCTGGTTTCACAAATGTTTATATATACAACTCTGTGTGTGTGTGCGCAGTTGTGTTCATTGTTGGAAGTGGCATGTACAATAAGACTGCCCCTCAAGGCAACATCCTGGTGAAAGTCGCCAAATGCATCGGGGTAAGTGGCTGCTCAAAGATGAGCATGTTTCTCCAAAAGGTTTTTAGCTTCATAATGGATTTCAAAACGGTTTTAAGAACCTAGTTCACGTGGTGATGTCCTTTCTGCGGTCTATAGTTTGCTGTCAAGAACCGCTTTAGGCATCGTGGTTCTGAATACCCTAAGAGAACCCACTGGATGGACTGGGCTGAGGAGAAATATGATGTAAGTGCAGTATATATGCGCAAGACCATGCAAACACAAATGGTACAATCAGTGACGTAAAAATCAAAATCCTTTTTTTTTTATCTTTGGCTCTAGAAACTCCTGATCGCCCAGGTGAAGATGGTGCTGAAGGTGTTGTTCCTCTATATCCCTCTGCCCATGTTCTGGGCTCTCTTTGACCAGCAGGTAACTTCTACTACTACTAGACACTTATTGTTTGTAGTTGTTATTAATAGCAAATTTTCGATAGAAAAAGAAATGGATAATGCAAACCCAGAAGTGCATTGGCAGAATCCAGAATTGTGTCTTCTCCACAGGGCTCAAGATGGACTCTCCAGGCGACCACCATGAACGGCGACTTTGTAAGTGTTTTATAGCATTTTTGTTGTACCTTGTGATTTCAGACTGCAGAAAAGACCGTTTTTAAAATTAGATTCTGTCTCTTTCCTCTTTTTCTTCAACAGGGACTTATGATAATCCAGCCTGATCAAATGCAGGTAAGACACTTATGTTGGTTACACTTTACTCACTTTGTTGTGGTGTTAATTGATGCTTGTGCATACATGCTGTTGAGAATAGGCTTTAAAAGAGTGAGTTTGCTTCTCCTCCCCCCTCAGACGGTCAACCCTATCTTGATCCTGATTTTGGTACCAATTATGGACAGCGTGATCTACCCGCTGATTTCCAAGTGCAATTTAAACTTCACGTAAGTTTGTTTGTCTTTTTTATTCCTGTGTGATGGAAAATATTACATTACTTTAACCCTCGCCTTTTAAACTGTCCTTACAGATGTATGTATGCTACAATAAGCTATTTAATAGTTTTTACAGTATATAGTTTATAACACAATAGAAGGAAGTTGTAAGCAGATATACGGACTTTTTAAGCATTTATGAATGTATTTGTAAGTTATAACTTCTGTTATAACGCATCTGTGACAGTTAATCAATGATTTAACAAAACCTTGGTGTGTTCAAACATTAACTTACTATTAATATTCATGTACAAATGATTATTTAAATGTGTTCAAAACTCATGCTGACAGGCTCAAAGTTCACTCTGACCTCAGAGTAGTTTGACAAAAAAGATAATTCTCAACTTAAGGTCCACTTACCAGATTTCTTCCTAAGCTTTCAGCTGCATATCATGGCTTTCATCAGTGGATAGTATTTTGTGAATTATAGAGACTAAAGAAGTAAATATGTCTTTAATATATGATTACGGCTGTGCTAATAATATTGCCAGTCATTGATTATCTGTTTATACACCAGAACTGAAATTGTTGAGAAATACATTAATTAACACTGTCCTTAAAATAAAGTACTGTTTGGCCTAACTATTGTTCAATGTGATTGACTATGAAGTAGAGATAAACTCAAATATGTATGAACTTGTTTGTTCTCCAGTCCGTTAAAGAGGATGACTGTGGGTATGTCCCTCGCTGCTCTCGCGTTCGTCGCTGCTGGTCTGGTCCAGATCCAGATTGATGTGAGTGTAACACACAGAAAAAAACAATTAGTGGGCAACTTAAACACACATTACCTTCTGAAGCACAACTCTCACACACAAATTTCATTTCTCTTCTAGAAAACCCTGCCTAAGTTCCCATCAAGCTCCGTAGGCCAAGCGAAGTTCATCAACATGATTGACAGGACGCTGACCATCGAAGCTGGGACCGAGAAGATTACCTTGGAGCCTTTCACGGTACTCCAGCCGACATAAAACACAGCAAACACACTAAATATCAAAATGTACTAAAAGTTAGTAGCTCTGTTCTGACTCACTTTACACTAAAGGTTGGAAGATGAATATTGATGTGTTCTTATCTTTTCTCCTACAGGCCAATGAGGATTATTTGAACTTTAATGGACCATTTGACCTGAAATTTGGTCCTAATGCCACTGAAACCACTTTATTGGCCGGCACTCGGAACACCATAGTCATTGTTCAGGATGGGGCTGTACCCAAGAGTATAGAAGTGAGCGCGCTTGTCCAAATAAAATTATAATCATTTTGTCTGCTACAGCTAGGAAAGGGTTCAGTAGCATCAGAATTTTATCTCTGAATGTTTTTATTGAATCTTAATCCTATATCTTTTAACAAAAAAAGACACATACTGTTGTATATGGTTTAGTATTAGACCTAAGCCACAGAGATTCTACTGTGCTACTGAAGGGGTGTAAGGTTTTCACTAGATTTGTGATATTCATTAACTGTCCTCACTAATTTATCCTGCTCCTCACTGAGGGGCAGTGCTACAGCTGCAGAAAGAAAAATAATACATAAATGATATCAAATGTATTCAATCTTTATTTATAGTGTTTGTTTCCTTTATCCATTGATTAAATTAAAAAAGTACAAGTATCTGGAGGCTCTAAAGTATCTTTCTGTCTCTAGTTCACAGACATCAACTCAAAGCCGGAACAGGGCGCTAATGCTATCAGGCAAGTTTCAAACTGTTATTTAGCCTTTAGGGATGAATTTATTTAGTAGGCTTGGCGAGGTGTAATTACTTTTCTTTTACTTTTTTTTTCTTCTTCTTGTGATCCCCAAAATAATTATATTGCTCTTGGCAAAGCTGAGGAGGTTCTGCCTTTTCATGAACGCAGAGTAATTATTCTGTGATTATGGCATCCAAAGTTTTGCTTTGTCTTTAGTTTACAGCAGCATAAAAGAACCATTATAAATCTAAGGCACTGTAATTGGCTTTTAATGTAACTGAACGTGTTTACCTGTGTTAGTAGTGACCAGATAAGACATAAATAATCTTTAGATCAGTGGTTCCTAACCTTTTCTGGGGGAATGTAACAGCTTTTAAGTCATGTTTAAAAAAGGAGGTGGCTAATTTAATGAACCCTAAAAGGCATTTAGTACAGACTCCAGAAAAGTGCATCGAATAAATTAAACATTATGTTTATTTGTATGAGTAAGAATGTGTTTAATCTTGTTTCAAGTGTTGCATTGTCTGACTGTTGTTTACTCACCTTTTGTGTGCTGAATTCTCCTTCCTCAGATTATTTAATGGCTTGGAATCAGTTTTGAATGTAACAGTGGGAACCAATGTCGTCAACATCGTCGCCAACAACATGTCAACATATCTTATGTTACCACAGGGAGAGTAAGACTAAAATTTTGTTTTATATTAGATGTCACATACAATTATACTAGAGAAAATTCTTTGTTCTGACTGGTGTTTTTCTTGTTATGTCAGTGTAACGTTCAAGATCAGGAATGACACAACTGGAGACGAGTGTGTCTACACTCAAACACTGGGCTTCGGCAGCTCTTACACTTTGCTCATCCTGCCAACTTTAAAATATGGACCAAATGTAACTCTCATGAATACATCACAATATGTCTTGAGTCACAATATGGCTTGAATATAACTTTTTATGATTGAGGTAACACATCTGGGTACCTGTCTGTGTCCTGTAGTGCCAAGACGGCATCAAACAAGTGACAGAAATCCAGCCTAACACAATCCACATGGCCTGGCAGATTCCTCAGTATTTCCTCATCACTGCTGGGGAGGTGGTCTTCTCTGTCACCGGACTGGAGTTCTCCTACTCACAGGTAGAGGGCGCTTTCCTCACAAATCTCTCAAACACTGCAAAAAGCAGTTTGGAAACAACAGATAACAGAAACAGTTAAAGTGCATAATAGGTTAAATAGTGTGTCATAATGTTAATTTGGCCAGATACATAATATAATCACTGTTTTCAATGAATTTGCTGTAATATGTAGTTCTATTTGAATCTCGCTTTGCTCTCCAGGCACCCAGCAACATGAAGTCAGTGCTGCAGGCTGGTTGGCTGTTAACTGTTGCTGTAGGTAACATCATTGTGCTCATTGTCGCGGAGGCTGCAACCCTCTCAGAACAGGTGGGTGGATTTTATTCAACCATTTGTAGACACCTGTTGTTCTTACTGAAGTTAGGCAAGTTTAGTTTGTGATATGAATGCCTATACTTTTTGTTGGCTGTCATTGCTTTTGATAGAACATAACAATGCAGGTTATGGGTATGATGATGACACATGATAACACATGACATTGGTCAAAATCAGACATCATAGAAAAGAATTGACTGCCCGTGGGAACCTTGCAAGCTCCACTAAAACTGGGCTTACAGAGGAGGAAGTGTTGGAAAGCAAAACAGAGCTTAAAGGAGAATCGCTCACATTCGTCACATTCGACAAATGATACAGTTGCTCTGTCTGCTTGATGTGTAAATAGGCAAGAGTATGCTAACAACTTAGCCAAATATATACATACTGTATAGAGGGATAGTAGGACTGTGCTGTTTCCAGCTTTACTCTGCTGCCACCAAGTGTCCAAAAACCATTAGTTGCTGGTTTAAGTAAGAGTACCTTAATTTTACTGAATCAAAAGTAGAAGTACACATAGCAAAATGGACCAATTCAGCAGTGCTACAGTTGATGTTAATGTCCTTCCCCGCAACAACATAAGTCTGATGCATTTCATAGGACATTGTTTTCATTTGTGGAGGTTATTGTTATAGGTTATTAGCCTACAACATGAATTTAATCCTCAATTGGATAACTGCAATATGCAAAATGTTTTCCCACTGGTCTGTGGTGAGAGGTACTCTTTGGTGTGTTCCGTCTTATATAAATGCAATAATCCCAAAAGTGTCAGACTTGAGTTTGAAAGTTTGGAAGAGATTATTAGCGGTGTGCCGATGTGCGATGCCATTAACAGTGTAACTCCATCCATCCATCGTCAACCACTTATCCTGCGTACAGGACAGTGTAACTTTTTAGTCAAATTTTCAATAGAAAAAAAATAAATAGAAAGTATTGTTCAAGATTTTTGGAAATATACTTTTTGTTTGAATATGAAGCTGGATATGGTGAGCTTATAGACTGGAAACAGGAGGAAAGGCTAAAATAAAGATCTAACTCCAACTTGTGTTTCTCTTCACTAGTGGGCCGAGTACATCCTCTTCGCCTCTCTGCTAATGTTAGTGTGCGTCATCTTTGCCATCATGGCCTATTTCTACACCTACACTGACCCGGCCAAGATAGAAGCCGAGTTTGCCCAGAACGCTAAAGACGAGAAGAAGAAGAAGAAAAGTTCGGAAAAGGACTCGGCTGAGCTACGCGACAAGCCCAGGAAGAGTTCTGACTACAGCTCAGACTCCAGCTTTGAGGAGGAATCCAAGCAGACGAAAATCTAAAGTGACAATTCTCTACAGCTTTTCCCTCTTTCTGATATGAATGCTGCTTGGTTCTATGTCTCATGTCTGAAAGTGCCTGTGCCATTAATGTTTTTGGTCATTTTGTGATCGCGCTGCTGGACATGTAGTGGTTAGAATGAGTGGATGGACCTGAGTGAAATGGTGCTGGAGTTGGAAGAACACAGAAACAAGGCTTATATGGGTAAGCTCTTGGTGAACAGTGTTAGTGAAGGGTCTTGACAGGGATAATTTAAATACCATTATCAACATTTCATCTCAAAACCTTGAGAGACTATTCTGTTTTTAGAGGTTACTCACAACATTAAAATGCCTGGATCTTTATTGGTTAGTAAGGTGTGATTTCGCAGTTGTAAATTTGTTTTTACAATGATTTATTTTGCACTGTGTAGCAACATCCGTATTTAATTTTAGTTTCGACGGCTCTTGTAATGTTCTGGAACACACATACAATGAAACCAAACACAGGGTTGTGTAGACGGACGGACGGAGACACACACACACACACACACGGACAGAGAGACAGACGGACGGAGACACACACACACACGGACAGAGAGACAGACGGACGGAGACACGGACAGAGAGACAGACGGAGACACACACACACACGGACAGAGAGACAGACAGACGGAGACACGGACAGAGAGACAGACGGAGACACACACACAGACACGGACAGAGACAGACAGACGGAGACACACACACACACACACAGAGACAGACGGAGACACGGACAGAGAGACAGACGGAGACACACACACACATGGACAGAGAGACAGACGGAGACACGGACACACGGACAGAGAGACAGACGGAGACACGGACAGAGAGACACACGGACAGAGAGACAGACGGAGACACGGACAGAGAGACAGACGGACAGAGAGACAGACGGAGACACACACACACACACGGACAGAGAGACAGACGGAGACACACACACACGGACAGAGAGACAGACGGAGACACACACGGACAGAGAGACAGACGGAGACACGGACAGAGGGACACACGGACAGAGAGACAGACGGAGACACACACACGGACAGAGAGACAGACGGAGACACACACACACGGACAGAGAGACAGACGGAGACACACACGGACAGAGAGACAGACGGAGACACACACACACACACACGGACGGACAGAGACACAAAGACAGACAGAGACAGACAGAGACAGACACACACAGAGACACAGAGTGACAGAGACACACACACACACACACAGACAGACCCAGTATAAATAGTCAAATTTAACATCAAAGACAGTTTTGACAGAAGACTGCCCAGTTACAATGGCTTCTCGTCAAGGTTTTCAATAAAGATGCTAGCAATGGGTAGTTGTCAATAAACGTGTACTGACAAGAGTTTCTTTAAACTTATGCAATGACATTATGTTCTTTAAGTAAATTTCTATACATTGCTCTTTCTAAATAGAAAATCTTCCTGCATATAATGCATTATATTACTTAATGTGTAGAAATATGTCCTCAGACAGTAATAATTTAAGTGTTTATACAACAATAAAGAATGTTCTAAACATTTTGTCTTCTTATAAAATCTAAATGGACTGCAAGATGTTTCTATAGCTTATATTGTCTATTTGTTTGTCCTTTATACACGTTACTGTTATTTTCGAATATATATAATAGAATATCAGCAAATGTTCACATTTGAGAAGTGGATTCAGAGAATATTTGGTATTAAAACAAGAGTCTCCCAGCCATGCTTAGGCACACTCAGCTAAACGTCAACATGCTGATGTTAAGCAGGCATGTTCACCATCTTTGTTGAGCCTGTTAGTACGCTAACATTTGCTTATCAGCAATAAATGCAAAGTACAGCTGAGGCTGATGGGAATGTCATTAGTTTTTAAGAATTTGACTATAATTTAGTATGTATTGGACAAATTAAAATGTTGACCTGATGATGGCACTAGATGAGAAGTCACTAAAGGGGGTTATCATACATCCTAAGGGGGGCATGAATCTCCAAAATTCACAACATAACTATCAACTAATAATTTCAGCTCTACACACATTTAACTCCAGAAAATGCATGACACAAAGTTCTCTGTTAGCATTAGATCTTTATTTCTCATGTCACTTTGAAAGCTTACAAGGAGCTTACATTTAACTTGGGGATTCTCAAATGACACAAGCAAAGATTATATACAGTACTATAAACTGTCCGCTATGATAAAGGAGACCAAATGTACACATTTTGTAGTTATTTCCGTAGCATATGTTTTTCTGTAAGGTATAGATATTTTTTTGCCCATATCCATAAAGCATTCCATATTTCCATACTTATTTCTTTGCAGTTATAAAAATATCAGCTATTTCTTAATTTCTTTCAATCCCTGTGTTGACAAGTGCGTCATGATGCATCTCCCCAACATTATTGCTGCATTAGCACAGTAGTAAATTCTGGAACTCTTAAAGTAAACATATATAGTAAAACATGGCTATTAGCAACTTTTTTTCATTTAGTTTTTTTTGTTGTTGTTGTTCCTCTTACAGGTTTCTTTAAATACTTGACACACTTTCAAAGTGCAAAAACCCCCAAACTGATCGGAAATTTAAAAAACAAAAAGGTGCAAATCATACTACAAAAATCTGGTGAAAGCATAAAGGAGGACATGGCACTTCTAGCATGGTGTGGTAGTGAGAACAAAAATGGACTGGAGTGAGGACATAAGGATGGCATTGATTTCTGCAGCTTGGCTTGATCTATGGTTTAGTTTGGCCATGAGCAAGTGTCATGATGCGATTGCCTATGATGGTCCTTTCCAGTTATTCCTCACATCCACTTTAGTTTTTAAGTAGTGCTAAAGATAAATTACAAGCCAAGGAAAAATAATACTTCACATGATATCAGTATCAACCGCCCATAGTGGTTCCCCCTTGTTATCGTCCTTGGCTCCATTAAATATTGTTATTCTTGTTTAAGAGCCACTGCCGACACGGATCTATCTTCATTCTTGTCCTAAACAATTTCACAACTGACTTAAATTGCCTAAATATAAGTACAGGTTGGAGTCCCCTCCCGACTTCAAAAGCAAAGGAAACGCGTCTGCCTCTAAACAAAGTAAGCTTAGTATCATAGTTAGTCTGACGATTCAGCAGGTGATTGAAATGGAGATTGGAACTCAGTCACTTAGAGAGAAAAAAACAAAACACTGATGAATACTGAACTGAATTTCACGCACCAACAAATAAAAGAAAACAAACTATACCTCAGATGAAATGCCTGAACATAGATGTATGTATCTCAAAAAGGCAAGGCATTTTCTGTTCTGTTGGAGTAACTTTTAAATATCTACTTTTAAACATTATCAATATCTACAAAATGCGCATGACCATTTTGTACACAGTGATTCATTTCCCGCAATGACAACTTGAAATCATGTACAGCATGGCGACCCCCCCCCCCCCCGCTCCTCCTCCCTCTGCCTCGGAAGGACAAAGTCCACTTAAAGCACTTTACCTGAGGTTTCATTAAGAATGCTGCAATTTGCCTTAACAGGGAGTCTTACATACGCGACAGCACACGTGCACACACAGACACACGCACAAACACGCTCGCAGGCGCCCACACAAGTGTTGTGCATTTAAGCACGCGCACACGCAGCTTGCACAACAAGATAATATCCCTGCAGGTTCATCACGCATGCTTTCAGAGGTTCTGGGGATATGACGCCTGCATTAAGAGAGGGACAGGGGGATTTTCAGCTCTCTGTCGAGCAAATTCCATATAGAGACTCCATGGTGTTGCTCTGACTTTGAGTCCCATCACGAGACGATGCCATGGGTTCTGCTCCCCCCCGAACTTCTCCTCTTATAAGTGGCAAAAGAAGCTCTCAAGAGTTTCTCTGTTGTCCTCTGCTTTGGAGTTCAGTAATTTTTATAGGCTAAGTTAGCACCCCCCCCCGCTCCACAGGAGAGGTCAAACATGGTCACTGATATTAAATAACTTGACCCCTGGCTTTTTACCCTCCGACCTGGCTGTGTTGTCGGGGGTGGGGGTGGGGGGGTGGGGGCCTGGGAGCTCAGGGCTGGGGCAGATTCCCTGTTACTAGGGGGAGGAGGAGGACATCCTGCTTGTGGAGAAACTGCAAGAAAAAGAAAACAAGAATGGTAGATTATCATCATCTACTGCATAAAAAAGAATCTGGAGTACATGAGTCAGATGTTACCTCTGGAGCCTGTGGACCATGTGAGCCACTAGGGAATCGGAGATGCCGGGGAAGGCCTCCTCAGCCAGCAGGATGGCCTCCCTCAGCTCATCCAGGACCATGGGGTTCCCATTCACCTGCTCCTGTCTTGCCTTCAGCTGGGAGGGAGGAGAAAGGTGAGGAGGCAGAGATTTGGGTTATTTATAAGAGAGAGAGAGAGAGATGAGAAAAACAATTTGATAAGACCCATCTGGGTATAATTCTGTGATACCAGGCCAACGCACCAGTTCGTTTGACCTGAATCAAAAAGGTCAGAAGTGAAAGCACCCTAAAAGTCAGTCTCGGGCCAAATGACTAAATGTAAAACTAGCAACCGGCAAATCTGTTTTAATGGATTGGTATCAGCTAAAATAAAGCAGATGCTTTCTTTACTGTACTCTGCTTTTGTCCACCTCAGCCTGCTAGTGTTGCTGCGCTGCTCTCCTTTCTAACAGCTAGACTCTACAGTGCTCCCTTTTTTTAGCTGGCGCTGATGTCGCAGGTCATATAAGCTTGTTTCTTAAGTCATTAACATGATAAGAAACAAACAAAATGAAACTTTGTCTGCAGCCGGTCTGTGCTTGTCAAAGATAAATTTGTGAGGCAAGAATCTCACAGTGTGGATGTTTGTGTAGTTCCAACAAGTCAAACAGAGTGACACACCATCTCTCCAACGGATCGCTTCACATCAATTTCAGGAGTCAACACTATCAAGTTAATATTTTTAAATCAGGACCTTCAGTATTTTGATCAAGTTGCTGGGGGAAATTGGGAGCTACAGCTGTTATTTCAATGTGTCAGATACATATTTAACATATAACCCAACGTTGAAGGACTCTGATTAAGCTCGGGGCCAAAGAACTCAATCAGGACATCCCTAATTAAAACACTATTGTGGATCTCATTACACTTTGGATTGTAGCATAATAATAATAATAATAATTTTATTTGTAATGCACTTTACATTTAAGACAAACCTCAAAGTGCGACAGGTAAGATCATAAAAGCAAGGTAAAAACATCAGTGTAAAATATAAACATTATTGTGCAAGGTTAAAACTATATTCCATGTAGGTCTGGTCATGAGTGTGAAGGAGAGGCTGTTGGTTATGGAGCTCCTTACCTCAGCTAATGCAGGAGAGATGACTGTGGCCAAGCTCTGTGAATAAGGCCTCTTTGGAATGTCTTTAGTCTGAGGAAAGAGAGAGATGTGAGAACGGGGGTGGAGGGTGATGGTGGAAGGAAATTAAAGTAGTGCAGCTTCACCTTAGGGGGGTCTTTTTAAATCAGCACGGCGTGCACAATTCCCCAAATAACTATACACCATGGGTTAGTTCTGGTGAAAGAGTGCACGTTATCTAAAAATTTGTTTTCTCACAGTGGGACAGGCTTTTGGCGACTGTTAATTGTCAGAATTCACACAGGAAATCAGATCCTAAGGAATAATCTGATTGGTGATGCACTCGCGTCTCACCTGGTCTGCTGCCCCCGACTGTCCCTCCCCGTTCTGCAGCTTCTTGGGGTCCTTCTCTCGAATGGTGAAGATCCAGTCATCGCTGCCAAAGTCGTTCCCGCCCGACGCCTGGCCGTCCTGCTCTCTGATTGGACAGATATTACAAGAGGCTTTGAACACTTATCAGGATGAGTGATGAAGTCATGCATGTTAAGTGCTTAAAGCTCATCATAACAAACGTGGGAGGAAAAGCAGCACAGAGGATGTTTCTCTCCCTCAGCGGGATGCGTTTGTGTCAAATTTTAGTACTGCCAAATAGGGGTAAAAAGAGCTGCAGTAAAAACAAAAAGAGAAGCAACAAAATGAAGACATTACAGATGTACTTCCACAGTAAATATCTTTAAAGTGTGGAGGACAGAATCACACTTACGAGTCAGACTCATCAGAACTGGACTCTGTGATTCTAGTCTGCTCTGCCTTCCACCTCTTGTACTTGTCCACCAGCTCGGTCAGGTAGGAAGTCTTTTTCGCATGGCGAACGATCAGCTTATGCTTCAACAGCTCTTTGGCAGTTGGCCTCTGTGGGAATGAAGAGAAACCAGTGAGATCAGCACACGATGGAGTTGATCTGTACAGACAAATTAAATAATCCCTAAATTACGAAAAGCTACTTACAAAACTGGGCTCTTTGTTGAGACAGGCCTCGACAAACTCCTTGAGCGGTTTGCTGTAGTTGCCCTCCAGTGTGGGCGGGTTGTTCTTTGGGATGAGGAATAAAACCTTCATGGGATGGAGCTCCGAGTGGGGTGGCTCACCTTTCGCCAGCTCGATGGCTGTGATGCCCAGAGACCAGATATCAGCCTATAATGCACAGGGAGACATGGTGAGAGCTTCATCCATAATATTTATACAAAACCATATCAGCTATCCAACAATCAGAGCTTCTCATATTTCTTATGGACAGTATGAACAGCATTTATGCATTTTAGAGTAGAGTTAGAGTATGACAACGTATACACAGTAGGTTCTCTATACAGTAACATTAAACAGTGTAGTGTGTGCAAACATACGAATAGTGCAAATAACATGTACGTTAAAGTACTGAGAGTGGTGCAGTGTGAATGCAAATGTGCTATTAGATTGAAGGTGGTTAGTTCAGCAGGGACACAGGGGAGAAGCTCTTCCTGAGCCGGCTAGCGTGAGACAGTGTGGGCTCCTGAAACAGCTGCTGCATGGGAGGAGGGTAAAAGCCGGTTAGGGTGGGAGGCATCCTTGACGATGTTTCTCGTCCTGCCAAGGTAGCGCTTGTGATAAATATTCTCGATGGAGGGTAACTGGGTGCCGGTGATCTGTTGCGCCTTTTTGACTAGTGTGAAGGAGTTTAGGGAACAGGTGAGATCATCAGAGATGTTGACACCAAGATGCTTGACAATACCTCATCTGCATGAAAATACTGTGGCAATGATGCCAAGTGAGCTCAAGAGACACCTTGAGAAAAAACACCCCTCATTAGCCAGCTGAAGCTCCTGAATACCTGAAAGATATTGAATAATTTCGAGCAACTAAAACAGGTAATGAGAACGTTACGGATGAAGGGGTTCCATCAAAAATCACTACGAGGGAGAATCTCGAGGGACCACAGCAACCTGCAAGTGAAGGGTCAGTAGCTCGTACACTTGTCTACTTGTTCTGTGTAGGAGGAGGAGAGGAAACTCTACAACACGGTAAAGCTTGTTTATCGACTTTCTGCATTTCTTTAGTCTTTCACTTCGATTTAGTTTTGACAAATTGTGATTTAAACAATGCAAACATTTTCAAATGACAAAAAGATGATCATATCTTTCAGCAAGCCAGTCTCTACATCCAATCTGAGGATACGAGCAAACGCAAAACACGTTCCTGAAAACACTTTTAAGGATCCCTTCATTATAAAATGACTGTCGGATTACTCTATAAAATTCTTGTGTGGGTCTGAAGAGGAAACAGCAACAAGCTACTGCAGTAGAAACACAAAAAATGTCACTTAATCTCGATTACTGCTGAAATGATCCATTATATCATTTTAAAATAATTTGAAAATAAATAAACCTTGTAAAACAACACTGTCAACCCCACAGCCAACGTGATCTACATGACTGATTGACTGCAATAACAATTTGCACAGGTAATAGTGGGCAGCCAGCTGTACACATAAACATAATATCAGATTAGGTCGCTAGTGGTAGTGGTTGGTCATGTAATCCTCACGTTCCAGGTCGTATCTGTCCGTCAAGAGTCTAAAACCACAGCGCAAAGAAGAGAAGAAGACCCATTCTCTTTGTATCTTCACTGTATAAATGGATGACTTCTTTTGAAGTGTACTTTTGTGCAACACCATTAGCAGTATTACTTTATAAGCATAGTGAGGGTATTTTATAATGGAGTGTAAACCATAAATATAACACAGCGTCTTTGACCTTACCTTAGAGTCATAGGCCGACTGTTTGATGACCTCGGGGGCCATCCAGAAGGGCGTGCCAACAAAGGTGTTGCGCTTGATCTGAGTGTCGGTGAGCTGTCCCGCCACGCCGAAATCTGCCAGCTTCACCTCTCCTTGCTCGGACAGCAGCACGTTGGCGGCTGTGGAGGGGAAGGAGAGATGGAAAGTTGATGTGATCCAGCTCACAGAGACACAGAGCGAGACGCTATGCCACATCTTCAGACACTTCAGTCAGCGTCATTTATCTGCATCACCAATTTATTTAATAAAGACAGAACAACTGTCAGGAGCCTTTTAGCGAGCCGCCGCAGGGTTCATCTCAATTCCCCCGATGAAATACGAACTACATAATGAATGAAACCTTAAGTGGACGTCAATTCCCGTTAATGTGCTACATGATATTTGTGTATGCTCCCTGATGCCATTTAGTCAGCTGAAACCTGCGTCCTCTAATAGCAGCACTCTCAGTGGGTCAGCTACCTTTGATATCCCTGTGGATCTTCTTCTCAGAGTGCAGATACTCCAGGCCCTTGAGGATCTCTCTCAGGATCGTGGCAATCTGGGTCTCATCCAGAGCTCCGGGCTCCATCTTTAGAAAAAAAACAAAAACAAAAACCACAAGCTGTGGGTGTCAGCTGAGCGTCAGGGAGGAGGATTATTAATTCTACAGGGGTTGACAGTATAGCAATTGATTCAGATCAATCTGAGCAGTTCTAAAATTTCATTAAAGAATAAGTCTGGTGATATACTATATACAATCCAAATGAACAAGTACTGTGCATCCAAAACTTGATATATTATTAAAAACACACCAATGAGCCACACTGGGTGACATGTTCCCTCATTACCATGAACACACAGTATTCTATTTTGGCTCAGTCCCACATACACCGTCCTGCTGCCAGAGATAGTTAGAGCACCAAATGGGGATTAATCTGCAGCTAAAAATAGTCGCCCAAAAATGCACTTTCCTCCTGTTTGAGTAAGGTTTGCTAAAAACTACTATGACCAGATGTTTTAATTAATTACTAAGCCATTTGTTTTTTTAAATGACATTACATATTTGTGACGCATCACGTCCTGAGTAGGAATGTATGGGCTTTGCGTTTTACCCATCCTTATGCATGGTTGGTTTTGGTCCCTTCAGGGATTTCTTGACTATAACAAAAATAAAGAATACTGCCACCATATCCTATAAATCTTATTTTGCCATTTACATAGACAGCTATATATGCATTAAGACGGTTTTGGAAACATCAACTGCAGGCCTCTGAAAGCACCAAAACAATGTGTCCAAAGCGTCATCATGGTTACTTCTGGGAGCGTGGTGGAGCTGATATGGCCAAAACTAAGCAAATCACATCAAATCCAGGGAAAAGGAAAGGCCTATAACGTCTCCCTCAATTTTTTTCAATTCAGATAATATTGTTACAAATATCTCAGTATCTTTTTTCATAGTATTGCCGGGGGGTGGTAGGGAGTGCTCACAACCTCCGCTAACCAAGTTCCTGGGAAACCCTGATATTTTATTGTCTGTTTGGGAGTTCAGGAAGACCAAAAACCTGAAGCAGGAATCACTTACCAAATCTAACGCCGAGCCTCCACCTAAATACTCCATAATGATCCATAACTTTGTGTCCTGGAACAGAGGGAGAAGAGAGTGAGCTGCCTCTGATGAACAAAAGGGGTCATTAAGTACTGGTGTGGTGCATTTGTGGAGAAATATTCACAGCTGGTTTATTAAGGTGGTTACTGGCTTAATGCGAGGTGTCAAGAGCCTGAAGTCATCTGAGGCTAATCCCTTTTTAATTTAGGATTATTCAGGGAAAAGTGGGTAGAGGGAGAAAAATCCTTTTATGTCTCATCCCATTTACTTACTTGGAGGTTTGACGTGTGTGGGAAAACAGATGCACACTAAGATGTTATAGAACTATAACCTCGTCTGGTGACATAAGCGCGTGCAACAAACATCACCTTCAGGTATGAGCCGTAGTACTTGGTCACAAAGGGGCTGTCACACTGGCTCAGCACCGTGATCTCCTGCTGAATGTCTTCGATCTCATCCTCCGCTTCCTCCAGGTCTATGATCTTGATGGCGACTACTTTCTGGGTCCGATTGTCGATGCCTTTGAACACCTCGCCAAACGAACCCTTGCCAATTCGCTCCAGCTTGGTGAACAGCTCCTCCGGATCAGCTTTGGCATTCTGGCGGTGATGGGAGGTGGAACAAAGCAGGGGAGGAAAGGGAAGGCGGATTTAAAAAACAACGACAACCAAAAAAAACAAACAAAGAAACAAAAGAAAAAAGGAACGTTTGAAAAGAACTCAATGTTGGGGAGCAAATAGGAAACACCAGCAGGGTGCCATTCTTACAGGATATATTAATTCATTCATTTCAACACCTTGTGTTTGTGTACACAGAAAGAAAGAGAGAATAAAAGGGAAAGAGTGTTAACATTTGGATAACATGTAGATTAAAAGAATTTAAATAACACAAAATATGCTAATATTTTAATACCCTGCTGCACCTTTATTGTCTGCCAATAATTTTTTTGATTAGTCTATGAAAGGTCAGAAAATAGTTGGACTGTAAATCTTCAAATGTCTTGTATGTCTCACCAATTGTCCAATCCCAAAAGATGTTAAGTCTGCAATAATATGTGGATAAAAGCAATAAATTGTCATATTTGGCTGAAGCAGCAATATTTGGCATTTTTACTTGAAAAAAAAAACAAAACACAACAGTATCATAGATGAATATTGTTCCTTATACTTTCTGCCGATCTAATAACCAATTAATTGACTAATTTTTGCAGCTCTATTATGGACTCATGGACCCATTTGTAAAAACACTGTCCTAAACTTTGAATAATGAGAACTCTTAGTAAAAACATTTTTAAAGACTTTTTCTAGGTTTCCATAAAGATGCTAAAAGTAACTTTTAACATAATCCTGGCATGATTCTTCAGTGTTGACTGCAAAGACTCTCAAGTGTTAAAAATAAGGACTACAATTATGTCTGACCACATTACCCTCCCTTCAAGCACTGACTGAGCCAACAGAAGGCCTCCAAAAAAGGTGACCACGTCCGGGCTGCTTCCCCTCAATCTTCACATCTTCACACAGAATATGACATTTCCCCTACAGCTATGTTAACAATATGAATATATGCTATTTGGGATAGCCATTTTAGTGCTAACCAAGTGCTGTAGAAGTCCTATATAATTTGTACAGTTTGAATCAAATACATGTTTCCATTTTTTCCATTTTCTATAACAGAGAAAGCAGCGGTCGGCCTAAAAATGAAACCTTTCTTAAAGGTTTATCAGAAAGTTTACATATTTAGAACCAGTTTAATTTGCCATGTCTATGGTTTGTGATAACTTCTCCTTCCTTCTTATACTAAACTAGTTAATATAAAAATGATTGAACTTGTTCTGATTTATATAGATCAGAAGAATCCCACCAACATATGATCATTTGATTATATTCATGCTGAATCCTTTTTGTTGTTGTATACAGTAGGGTGTGTGTGCAGTGCACTGGGGCGGACCTTATATGTTTTACTTACTTGTGATTTCCATTTTTTATTTGTATTTTGTATTGTCCTCATGGATTTAATCCTTATGGTGGTGATAAGTGCCCTTTTTTTCGCCTTGTGTTTATCTTTTGTAAAGCACTTTGTACTTTTGTTTGATAAGTGCTATATAAATACAGTTATTATTATATATTTTAAAATACAGAAAGTGTGCATCATGCGCTGACTCTGGTGGTCACTCGTAACCGACTGTAGAGACCTGGAGCTGTCTGAAATAATCTGGGAGCTGAAAAGTCTGAAAACCCAGGAAGGTTTCCGAAAGGCACTTATTCTAATAAAAAAAAAAAGAAAACTTAGTTTGATGCATTTAAGATCAACATTTTACACTGAGCATCTATATATACTAGCCCAGGTGTAGATGGTTTAATTCTAATTTAACTGAACTTGGTTAGAGTTACCTTAAGATATTCGGGTCTGATATTACAAGGATTTTAAATTAAATGCATTGAATTGGAATTGGCGATATCTGCATGGAACCTCATACAGAATCTCATGAAGTCAAAAATGACTGTATAGTTACAGATTCTGTGCTGTAGTTGCAAATGAGCCAGTTTGTACAGAGAAGCAATAACAAAAAAAATAGGACCATTGGCACGCAGAGACATAATTATAACTTCTCTTGCAGCCATAAGGACAGGAGAGAGCACTTTTGCAGGATTTAAAACTGTGTTAAGGTGATTAGACATTAAAAAAAACCCCGCTTAGGTGGACCTTAGGTGTTTATTAGTCAGGGAAAAAACTTAAAATGTGTTAAGTCAATCCAATGACAAGCCACATTTCCAACTTTTCTAGGGTAGCACACAGCGTGTGTATCTGAGTGTTGAAAAACCAACTTGAACGCCGCAGGAAGTGAACTGAAATGATTTAACTCTCCGGAGGCCGTTATGTGGGAAACACATGAGCAGGCGCTAACAAAAACAACTTCCTTTCATGACCTCTTTTGAGTAGAGAAAGGGTCAATATGTCCGATCTGAAATAGCTAAAAATGAAACAGCCGCCTTACCCAAGAAGAGATCCTTATGTATATGTATGTATTTGGTGACAGAAATTTCATCAAGAAACTTAATAGTGCAATTCCACTAAAGGAAAGAGTGGTGCGGAACAGATGAAGAAGCGATAAAGTGATGAGTCATTTTTTTATTAAAACAATAATATACTTTGTTTGGGAACATGGTTTGAAACTGGAACAAGAGCTTCAAGTCAAATTGCAGGCATTTACTAACTTTTGCTGCCAGATTTACAACATACACTGGCAGATACAAACCTATTTGAAATCAGTCTTTGAAATTATTCAGAAAATTCAACTGACAAAGCTTTTGAGTGCACTTGCCTTTAACATAGGAATGCTGGCTGGGAACAATCATCACCTGACAGGCAGCGTAAAAATTATTTACATCATAGCACGAGTTATTTAGGAGCCTTCATAGGTGTTAAACTCCTAGCAGTTTGTCTGCCTTTAATGCATCCTCTCCTCAGACTTTAAATCTGCATGCATTTACTTCCAAATCAGAGAAATCTGCAAACAAGCCTGCACAGGGAATTTAATCTGGTGCATGAGGCAGTTTACATTAGGAACCGTTATCTCCTCTAGTTATCTACCCAACACAATTATCCCCTATAGGCAAAATCCTAAAGATAGCAGCAGAGGCAAGAACAGGGCTCCTGTGCATAATAGTTTCTTTGTACAGGAGACCCAGAGAGCTCTATTGCGTTCAACTCAGGGCTGAAATATTGGAATTTTGCCTTTAATGCGTATCTTTCTGCTGCAAAGATGTGGCATTCAGGGGCAGACTAGCTGTCAACATGAAAATAATTAACGGCGACGACAAATCAGCAATGTGATTTAAATTTCTGCTATGCCGTCAGGCGTCCCATACAAACGATAGTTCCTGTAATGGAGATATTAGTGACATCAATTACGTGCATTTCCTCCTCTTCATTATGCCCATTGCAGAATTGATTAACACCATTAGGATGCATCATGATCTCTGAAATATTTCCGAGTTCAAACTGAAAAGATAATGAGATTTTACGAGGTGTCTTTAAATGCCCAACATCACGGAGCTGGTTAGGTGTGCAGCGTACAGACCCACAGCAGGGAGTCAAAGAGTGTACATTTTGTTCTGGCAGTGACCTCAACTTACTTACTAACAAACTCAAAAGACATTCGTCTTACCTGCATCCCCGGCAGGTTGCCCTGAACAGGAGAATGGGCCATGGTGATGCTGACTGGATTTGTCTGACAACGCTGAGACCTCCTCGGCTTGACTTGTGTTTACAGTCCCAGCTGTGAGACCGTTAATGTTAGCAATCCTCCAGGACACCTGCTCACACAGGCCTACTGTGGACCGTCTCAGGCGCTTATATGTAGAGAGAAAAGCGTCTTTCCACAGAGAAAAATGTCCTTCCACACAGACTGGTGAGTCTTTCCTGTGTCGGAACAACCCCAAGTCATCCAAAAAAACAGCTGAGCAAGCTAACAGACGAGTGCTAGTGCTAAGTCTGAAGCTGCAAGCAAGAAATCCGCAATGTTAGTTTGCTAACCAGCTGGTTAGGCGTTAACTAGTGCGTTCAGTCCGATTTCTCACTCGGGGAAGTTGTGCTGCTGCAACAATTGATAAAAAAAAAAAATGAAACAAAGAAATAGCAACAGCTGTTTTTTTTTCTTTTTAAATTAGGTTGTCTGTCACTTTCTCAAAGCGTCTTCTCTCGCTAACGGTGTTGTCAGCTAGCTAGCATGGTTAGCCCGCTAGCTTGCTAGCCAACGCAGACACCCTGACCAACGAGCAGCGAGCTGGCTCAGAGCACTGTTTTCCCGCATAACGCAAATGTCACCCACGAAACCGAGCCCTGAACGAACCGACGACCCAGCTGTTATCTTTCCCCTTCGGCAGCTCTAACAGGTCCGGCGTCCGCGGCAGGGATAGCTCGCCAGTGTTTTTGTTTCCTCCCTCACTTTCGTCCCGTACTCTCGGCCATCTTGTCGGTGCTGTGACGCCTGGCTGGGCGGATCCGGATCCGGATCAGCAACAACGACGTCCTGGCTTGTCTCTCACAGGTGTTCATGCCAGGTGGATGGACCGACTCCCCCGCACCCGTCCTACCCCCACAAAAGGTTTTGGAGTCAGTGGTCAGTGAGTGCGTCCATACCGTGTTGTTCCGTTTGAAGTATTCAGATCCAAGTAGGCTTCAGGGGGTGGACAGTACATTTACTCAAGTATGCCTAACGTTACTGTACTTAAGTACATATTTGAGGTACCTCTACCTGAGTATTTCCTTTTCATTCCATATCTACTCCACTACATCTCAGAGAAAGAGCTTCTCTACATTTATCATACAGCTTTACTAGTTACTTTACAAAATAAGATCCTTACACACTAAAGATATGAAGAGTTTGTAAAATAGGATATCCAACAGTTTATCAAAGTACAGGTGAAACGATTAGTCGGTTGACAGAAAAAACTAAGAATTTCATCTAAGGATCAGAAGGAAGCACATTTCAAGATAAATAATGTTTAATTTAAGAACATTTGTTAATTTGTTATTAACAAAACTTTTTGCATTCAAAATTAGACTTGTTGCAGTCCTAAGTGCAATCTATATCTTCAATATAGCTAGTAGAAAGCAAGAGCAAAAAGTAACCATAGGTCATAGAAATGTTGTGTAAAAATTACAATATTTCCCTCTGAAATGTAGCAGTGTAGGCTGCATGTAATACAAAATGCAGTGGTGGACGGTATCTAAGTACATTCACTCAAGTTTTATGTACAGTAAGTACAAATTTGAGGTACCTGTGCTTTACTTGAGTATTTTCTTGAGTCACTTTCTACTTCTACTCCACTACATTGCAAAGGAATTATTGTACTTTTTATTTCACTACATTTATCTGGAAGCTTCAGTAGTTAGGCTACTTTACAAATTAAGCTTTTTACACGCAAAGCATATGAAGAGTTTATAAAATATTATGTTTTGTTATGAATTAAACTCCCAGCAGTTTATACAAGTACAGCTGAAACGATTACTCCTTTGAAAAGTAATTGAAACTATTTTGGTCGTTTAAGTAATTTTTCATGCAAAAACCTTCAAATGTGAAGATTTGCAGCTTTTCCTTTTGATTATTTGAATGTATTCTTAATTTTTCTCTTTGAGATGTGGAGTAGAAGTAGAAAGTGGCATGAAAAGAAAATACTCAAGTAGGCCTAAAGTACAAAAAGCCTACCTCTAACCTACTTAAGTACAGTAGTCTACTTGAGTAAATGTACTTACTGTCCACCACCAGTGTTGGTTCATCACAGTTTTATATGGGACCCTGAGAAAGCATCTCGGGAACGGCTGCCCTTGACATACTGCCACTAACCTCCATCTAGTAACTGCATTGCAATAACACACTTGCATCGCAGCATCATTCTGCCCGCGCAATTGTATTGCGAGTAAATCAAATCCTATTGATTTTTGCTGCCAATGCTAATTGCAGTGCAGCAGCGCTATTTGCACAATCGTATTTTGACGTTTCGCGTGTTTCACCAGAGGAGGGCGCCAGTGTATAAACGTCCCTGCAGCAGCATCCTTGTGTAACCTGGATGCTGATGCCGGCCCACCATCGCGTGCTGCAGCTAGAAATAATGTCGGGATGGCCGGTGCATTGCTGCAGCTGGTTTTTGTGTTGTGTGGGATAGTCGCCGAGAACATTTGATACATTATCATCCAATTTATATCCTCCTTATAGCTGTTCTTCTAACAGGCCTGTGTGGTGCTGGCAGTGGTACTGCATACATTAACGCAGTGCAACATGATTGTATGGCGGCCTTTAAACGGGATCTGGCGTCTGTTGGTGAAATGACACAAACAGATCATAAGGAGCTAATGCTTTGTAGGCTGTAGGCCATAAGAGTATGATAAAATGGAAATACCCATGAATGAAGGGCCAGGTCGCTTTAAATTCACAATTCAGTGATAGAGATGCCCCTGTATTGAACTAGTCTCTGACTAGACACTTTTCATTTGAGAGCCTACACTCAGTTAGACTCATATCCACATGTTTGTGTGGCTGTAAATACATATTTATGGAGGATTCGGCTGTCACAAATGAATCCTTGGATAAAAGTATGCGCACGGCGGCTCCGCGTCTCACTTGCGCTCCTCATCATCGCATCCAGGGTTGAACGCGTGAAATGGGAAGCACTACCTCCCGCCTTCATGCGTAAATTATGTAGGGCAGGACGGGAATGCTGCGCTACCTCCATTTGAGAAAACGCGGCCGGTGAATGTGATAGTGAAACAAAAGGAATCACACACACAAAAAAAGCCAATATCGTCTCCAGTCAGCGCTCGACAAAAGCGGAGTGGCGCATCACGACTTGCCTATTGTGAAGCCGGGGAAAAGAAAAGATGGACATCACGGATCAAGGAGCTCAAATGGAGCCGCTCTTACCAACGGTAAGACTATAATAACCTACATGTTAATGCTGTGTTCATGTTCAATATCAAACACTAGCTTGGAATCTCAAACAAAGCTGAATGGACTGTTGCTCATCAGCTTATGCAATTTCTCTTTAGAATAAAACAGGATGGATGAAACAATGTACATCAACGTATTATTCAAATTCAATACCTCTGTATTTCATAGTAACCCATATTTTGACTGCTTTAATGGTTGTGTGTCGCCTACATATCATAGCATTTTTGTTGCGCACCATAAATTGACAAAATTGATATTTTCACCGCCTGCACAATTCATATTTGAGCAAAATATCTCTCTCTCTCACACACACACTACAAACGCCTTTACACACTAGGCACTGAAGAGGTTGATAACATGTTACACAGCAGCTACAGTTATTCATTTGTACCCTGCCACCTGCAGGGCTCCTTAACATCCAAAACAATATGGTACCAGTCGACCCAGTTTTTACACTCTCTGTGAAACCTGCTCTCAAGCTGTTGCTTTAAGTATACAGTCCTGTGCCTCTAAGATAGTACACTAAGATGAGAGGGTTAGGTGTTTGATGCTCACAGTAAGGAGAGAGAGGGAGGTATATGCCTCATCAGTTGGATGAAATTAGCTTACTGTCTTTTCATCTTTCCATGAGGGACTTCAGTGGATTATTACAATTTAGCCAAAACCCATTTGGCCTTTTTGCCCGCATTTTGAGAGCACAACAAAGAAACTCATTTAAAAAATACATGATTCTTTCACATGTGTACATGGTAGTCCTTGTAAGCTATTCCTACCTGTAAGCCATTTTTCCCTCCCTTTTCTTGAAATCCCCATTTATCAAGCTGAGAGATACGCAGGCATCCCAAAGTCTTATTTATTTCACTCAGAGTTATTCTTTCCAGTGTGCTCTCAGGTTGTATCACATGTGGGTTGAAAATGTGTTCCCTCAAGTCAGAGCTCACTGAATCCATCGGAAGAATTTCATGTCTCAAATATAACACATTGTGCCACTTGAAGGCAGCCTACTTCTGCGGCCAGCCTCTCCTCATTAGCATTCAGGTGAGACTGTGCTGAGAAAAAAAAAAACGACAACAGCACAGCCGATGCTGGGGGAGAGAGATGAAATATATTGCTTTGCGCTCACCATGTTTAAATGCAGTGATTGCTCTGGAGGCAAATCAATACTCTCCTTGTGTGTTCTATTTGTGGACGTGTTACACGAGGACCTTTTTTTTTTTTTCCAGCGCTTACAGTGCACAGTGAAGCCTGCCAGGGCTGATGTGGCGTGGGATGGCTGTTCTGTTTCCCCTGCAGTCTCAATGCAGTGTGGTAGCTTTCCTGTTATTGTAACTCATTGCTGCTTCCCTTGTCCCCTCCGCCTACACAGCAAACGAATGCGTTGTCATGGTTTCACCAGGATGTGTATGAGTATGTGAGGTGTTAGCATGGTGAGAATCTCAAGGACTCCTCAATAGGTGACAGCGCAACATGACAAGAAAAAGCTATCCTATTGTACCCCGTTCTACCAGGTTACCAGGATCCCAAGGTCAAGCAAGAGAGTATGTTTAATTTACAGCAGGAAGGACTGTGTCTGAATGCATCATTGCTACTGCCATGTCTCTCAGCTGTTTAGAGTTGGGTCACCTGTTTTCTACATGTAAAGGAATTTCTTAACATGGCATCTGCCACGACAGTAATGTGTCCACATGCTTTGCTTTCGTCCTGTTTACTGATTTCTTGATGTTATTTGACTTGCAGGAACAAAGTTCCCAAGAAAATAAAGACGTGGTAAGTACATTTCTCGTTCCCTTCATCAGGCCTGCAAAATGTCACATTGATTTGCTGTGTAATAACAATGATAACGCAGTTTAATGCACTTGTTAAAGACTAGTTAAAAAACAAAGGATGCAATCAGAAAATCAATAGTGAAAACAATAAAATAAGAAATATAAAGGGCAAGACACAAATAATAGGTCACAGGAAATGTCACATTAAAGCAGGTCTGTAAAGAGTTTTAAAGCTGCAGTAGAGAATTCTTTTAAAAACAACTTTTTGTCATATTTACTAAAACGGTCACTATATTCTGACTGTAGCACACGAGACAATTAATCTGTGAAAAAATCTGGTTCCTCTGGCTCCTCTTACTGCTCCTGATAACATTAGCCAGAATCCACTGCTCCCGGGTCAAAACAACCAATCAGAGCCAGGAGGAGTCTCTAACGTAGTGTCAATCACTGCGCTGTGGAGCTCCCTTCCTTGCACATGCTCTTCATCAGTCATGCTCAATATCTTCACAACACAATGTCTGAGAAACAACCAGCACCAACGGCACATCCCTCCTTTGCCAACAACAGCGTACAAAACACGTGTGTGAACACACTTCAGGGTCATTATGTTTGATGCCATGGCGCTTATATCGACGAGTGGCATGATGACAAACAGTGGGGAATAACCTTTGGGGGGGTACATTGATTTTATGGCCAGCAACTTACTTGTTTTGGTTAATATTTACCACGCTTTTTAGAGAAAATGCACCACAAGGAAACTGGTGAACGTAGTGAAGCTTTTAGCTACTAAA